GGAGGGCGGGAGGTGCTCTTCATACTATAGGTAACACACGCTTAAAAGCTTTATCATTTATATGTATAATATGATACGATTTCATGCGACAAAACGTTGGAATCCTGATTTTTAGGCGCTAGTAGAACATACCTACGCGCATTGCGCTTGCATGCAATAAGTGATATTTATTCCGTAAATACTAGGAACAGACACAAGCTAGTAGTACCAGTTACTCGAATCCACCCAGTCAGTAATTGATTCTTGGGGCGATGTATACGCTTTTACAACAAAATCCCAGAAAATATGCAAAATTTTACGTGCTCAAGATTCAAAAGCTATAAAACTAAGTTTGAGGTGATTAATTGTGTAACATACATGATAGTAAGCTGTTATTTAAAAAAAAATAAACAAAAGAGTGACTTTCAGTAAGTATTATTTATAATCTATATTGAATAAAAAAGTTTCTGTGTCTGTTACATATATTTGTAGCGAAAGGGCCTTCTCACAGTGTAACCGTGACGGCTCCAGATGTTGGGACATGCATTACTTTTTTTTCGTTTCCTCCTTATTTAGGTGTGGTGTGAGGCGTAGGGCGCCGTTGAATAGCTCTTTTTCTGCCCCGATTTATTGGTCACGTCCGCCCACGAACTTGTCATCGTGGTTGCCGCTATTTTTGATTCCGTTGCAGCTATAGGAGGCTAATCAATCACAGGTGAAAGGAAGGGCTTGTGTTTGCGCTTTTTGATAACTTTCTGACATTGCGCTTTTTGCAACTGCGGCGGTGGCAAAGACGTACGAAGCGGCGGCTGAGGCAGCGCCTCATTTGATTAGGCAGCTGTGCTTGGTAAGACAAAGATATGGGAACGTTGTCCAAACGCACAACTTCTTTCCGAAGCTCCACCAACTCTTCCCGAAGATTATCCACTTCTCGTAGCAGGCGGGAATTCTCGGCCTGCAGTTTCGCTATTTCTTCGTTGGAGAATATTTTTCCAAAGACGTGGCTGCGTTCTTTAAAGGTAGTTGAAACGTGGCTTTTATGTTCCTCGATTTTGCCGCTACAGTTGATATCACTCCGACATCATCAAGTATCTGTTTGTTTTGAGCTGCTTCCCCATCGGTTGTCGATTCTTCGAGCTATATGGCCGGCCCATTGCCACTTCAGCTTACCAATCCCTTGGGCTATGTTTGTTACTCTAGTTCTACTGCGGATATCCTCATTTCTAAGTTTATCACGCAGAAAAACCCCGAGCATAGCCCTCTCCATAGCTCGCTGAGCGACCTTGAGCTTTCTCATACGGCCAGCAGTGAAGGACCATGCCTCAGATCCATAAGTCATCACTGGCAACACCCACTGGTTGTAATCTCGTTTTCAGGTTTTCAGGTATACCTGACGAGAAGATGTTTCGTAATTTCCCGAACGCTGCCAAGCCGAGTTGAATCCGTCGATTGACCTCTCGGTCGAAGTTGGACTTACCTAGTCGGACTTACCTAGTCGGACTATTTGTCCCAGGTAAACATACTCGTCAACAACTTCGAGCTTAGTGCTCCCAACAACTACCGGCATAGGTGTGACATGGATAGGCAAAATTATTTTTGTTTTGTCCATGTTCATCTAAAGACCCATCCGCTGGGAGACACGACACTATTGAGGTTATTGAGCATAGTCCTTAGGTCCGCCAGCAATTCTGCCCTAAGGACTATATCGTCGGCAAATCGAAGGTGAATGATGTACTCGCCGTTGATGTTAATACCGTATTTTATCAAGTCCAGTAGCTTGAAAATGTCTTCCATTGCAGCAGTGAAGAGTTTCGGGGATATAACGTCACCATGTCTTACACCTCTCTGCAGTTGGATAGGTTTCGTACTCTGGTTCTGTACTCGGATAGCCATCGTAGCTCTACTGTACAAACACTTCAGCACTTCGATATATCGACAGTCAACTTGGCACCGGATGAATGCATGGCTTTAGAGATATCCTCATACATTTCCTCCACCTCCTCATCGGGATGTGCCGAGGTTGGTGCCTCAACCTGTGAAATGACCTTTAACGAATAGCGTTTGGTGATTCTGAGTTTATACTCATGGTACGCAACTCTCGTCGACACACTCACAATGTTTACAACGTTGTTAACGAGAGACTTGTGGATAATAAATTCACCATCTCCTTGGGGCAGATGGTCGCCCTCCCGGTGACAGACCAAGTTGCCGGATTCGAGGATTACCGTGTTCTTCCCCTCTCTTCGGACGTTGGATAATCCTATAAAATGCCAGCGTAACTTGTATATCTCTTCGCCCAGCTCCAGGATCTTCTCGTCAGTCCTCAGGGTACGTGCGTTGTATGTTGCCAAGTCGAGTCGTACCCTGCCCCGCCATTACCATGGTCGTCATCATAGCCAGGAATAGCGGGGCCCCAGGGGCTGGCGTGTCTTCGTAACTTTGGGGGATATTTGGCATAGTTAAACGCTTGGCGAGCGGGTTGGCAACCGCAGTTTTTTTATTGTAATATTGCTGTTATCAGGATACCGCTCTCCATCTCCTGTCTGTTTCCCACTGTCGCCTCTTACGACACCTACGGGAAGATATGGGGTAGTGGATATTTTTAACCGCCATTAATTTTTTACAGCTCTACAAGACCCCACCAGATACTTCACTTCGGAGACTTGAGTCCAATTCAGCTTCTGTTTTCATCCTATCATTTTTATTTTTACTTTTTACCATTATTGTTCCCACGAGTATAGGGGAAATAATTGTCCATCCGGGTAACATACAGGGGGCGTTGCCCGGATAAATCTAGCGTAACTCGTAAAAGGGGTCGGCCGGTACCCTGACTGGGGAAACACCTGCGACTGAACTTTAGCCCATCAGCCATGCAGTTGCTCACGGCATGCCACCTTGAGTTTCCGGCGATTTTTTATAGAGGTGGTCATCCTCCCGAGTCCGTGTTGTTACCCTGATCCGCTCATATTTCCCTTTTTTACAGGTTATGGGTCCCTGTTAAACCCTTCCCCCATGCGTTCACGACTGGGTTCCCTCAGCCATTCACACCATCGGCACGCGAGACCTTAGGGTTGGAGTAATTCTTAAGGAGGTTTTCTTCCTCGTGGTTCAAAAGATCACCCGGTTATTACTAGGATTACAATACCTGGCAAGTTTTGTTCCGCGGCGGTTTCCCGCTACTTGGATATATGGATAGCGTTTCCCTATCCGCCACCTGAGGACGCGATCGATGGACTGTTTGGCAACTCTTAGACTTAGACTTACCTAGTCGGACTATTTGTCATAGGTAAACATAAACATACTCGTCGTCAACTTTTATCGTAGTGCTAGTTGTTGGGAGCACTACGCTCAAGCCACTATAATACGTCCGACACTATAATACCGTACGTATTATAGTGTCGGACAATAGACCTATCCTTTCTATTGTCCGACACTATTGAGGTCTTTGAACTTAACGCTATGGTCCTCAAGGGATTCTGCTATTATGACTATATCGTCAGCAATTCGAAGGCGAGTGATGTAGATATTATTATCCGTTCCGTTTCCGAATCCGAATCCGTGTCCGAACTGTTTCAGGGATATAACGTTACGCATTCTTACACCTCTCTACAGTTAGATAGGTTTCGTTCTCTGGTTCTGTAGTCTGTACTATTCGGATAGACATCGCAGTCATTATACACTCACCTCAGTACCTCAATATACAGACAGTAAACATGCCCAAATCGGAAAATATCGAATGAAAATAAATCCCTTCTCAAGTCCACCTACGTTAGACATAACGATGCTTTTCAGTCTTCTGTATAACCTGTTGACAATAATGTGGTTTGTGGTACGAAAGCATTTTCGGAAACCGGTTTGTTCAGGAGGAAAAACAGTACAGTAATTGGAAGTTGTCGCCATGTTTTAACTCGTTTCTAAAACATTGCTGTCGGCACTGGTCCGGATGCACTCTCTGAGAATGCTACTGGCTCTAGCAGGGGTTATATATTATTACTAGCTGTTCCCCGCGACTTCGCCCGCGTGTTATTTGGGGTTTTAATTTTTTGCACGGATTTCTAATTCTTTTTCTAAAACAAAGCCTAAGTTACTCCTTGTAACATCAGCTATCTGCCAGTGAAAATCCCGTCAAAATCGGTGTAGTCGTTTCAGAGATTAGCCGGAACAAACAGACAGACAGACAAAAACTTAAAAAAAATATTTTTGTTATTAGTACCGTATACACTTTCATATGCATTTAGTAAAAAGCTGTAATTTTGACATTACAAACAGACACTACAATTTTATGTATTTGTATAGATAGATAACCCAGTTAAATTAATGTTTTAGTGTCAAACAAGCAATATCAATCTATACAAAAATTGAAGTGTCTGTTAGTAATGTCAAAATAACAACTTCTTATTTAATGCATATGAAAATATATACTGTACTTATAAAAAAAAACAATTATTAAAATTTTTGTCTGTCTGTCTGTTTGTTCCGGCTAATCTCTGAAACGGTTAACGATTTTGACGGGACCCTCACTGGCAGATAGCTGATGTTATGATAAGTAACTTAGGCTACTTTTATTTTGGGGTTTCGAATTAGAGCACCGTGCAAAAGATTATTAAAACCCTAAATTACACATACGGGAAACAGCTGGTCGTGAATAAAAATGATTTGAATGAATTTGAATTAATGTTTTAAAATTATCAAAAGTTTTTTTTTAAGTATTACCACGGAATTAGCTACTTTTTTTAAATAGAGTGAAGGTTGATCGATTGTGATTTCATTAACATCTACGATTAATAATTTTCTGTTGTTAGCCAGACGTTTATCACGGCCCAAAGATATGCTTTAAAAAGATTTACAAAATTGACTGATTAGCTGTCGCGGTCAGCGATTACATTCCAATTTAACTCACTCACTGTGCAGCAGTGTTGGGAAACTAGTCAACAAATAAGCCCGTATCAGCTTTATCTTTCGATGTCATATTAAATTATTAACATATTCCTGTGTTCCAAGCGAATGTTAATGTGTTTAATATGGATATATTAGATATCCTTTTGCAAGCTGGATTGATAACGGGCGCATTGGTTACGTATTTAATTTATTTTAGAAGATCCACTGACAAAGCTGGACACTATCGAGGAAAAGGTAAGGAGTAAACCGTCGTAAGTCATAACTCTGTGTTTATAATATTACTGCGAAATTGTTTTATGTAATGTAATAGAGTTTCTTACAGCACAACTTCAAGTTTTTCTTACAAAAGTACATTAAAAGATAACAAGTTATACTACAGATATTTTACAAGTCTTTGAATTAATTCACTAAGCTTTAATGCCTTGTAATAGAATTGCATTTATCATGTTTTTTGGTCAATGTTACAATCTGGTTCTCATATACTTATCCATTGAAGTGTTTAAATTATACTTACCATACTTTTTGCTTGTAGCGTAATTTTAGTGTAGGTTTAGATGTTCTTAGAGGCTAATATTACCAAGCAAAAAATGTCCTTCGGACGTTAAACTATTATTACGAGTTCTACTTACATTGAATTTATGAACTGCTAAAAATAACTTTGTACGTACATATCATATGTTTCAATTTAATGAGTTTGAATTACATGATGTTAGTACCTACTTATACAAGAATGTAGTTATTGGATGGTGTCAACTACTAAATTATTGTCGCGGGACTGTATAGCAGAACCGTTTGACACTTCTGTTTGAAATATTATTCGTGTAATAATTTAAAAACCGATCTAATGATCCGAATCGTCCTTTAGCCGTCCGTCTAGGGCGTCCTTTGCCGACTTTGCCATTCACTTCTGAAGCATACATTTGATTTGTCAATCTTTCCTCATTCATTCTTTTTTACATGCCAAACCACTGAAGCATTACTTTCCTAATCCTAGTCACAAGATCGTGTTGCAAACCACACTTTTCTCTTATTGCACAATTTCTTACCCTATCATTCAGAATCATCCCTAAACCAAACGTAACTTAACACTCATCTGGGAAACAATGTACTTAGCCCAGAAGAAGTCAAATTGCTCACGTGATTCATTGAAGATATAGGGCTTAGCAATGAACTATAGCCATAGCAACGATCACAATAAATCTTACAGGTCGCAGTGATCTGGTTTTTCTACATACACCTGCACAAAATAAAAATAAAAAAAACCCGTGTAATGGCGGCATAAGAATATTCACCACCCCATATCGTTCAGTGGGTATAGTAAGAGGTGATAAAGGGAAATAAACCTGAAGTTAGCAGCGTCTTCCTAATAACTCAAAATAAATGAAAACAACTGTGATTGCCAACCCACCTGGAATGTGGTTACTAAGGCAAATATCCTCGTTATTGGGAAATTCCTGCATGCTTGTATCCTGTAGGCATACATTATTTCTTAATAACCTCATTTCTACAGTATTCATCTTATGCTTATTACATTAAGGTAGGTATTAAACCATAAATGTGAATAGTCATACGAGCGTTTTTTGTCACATTCTGACTTCTATTCATATAGTGAAGAGCACCTTTAACTCCGTGTCCTGTAATCACTCTTCGTTCTATATCGTTGTTATGTCTACCATCCCTGCTAAACAAACATCCTAAATACACAAACTCATCCACTTACTCTATCAATTCCCCATCTATTCTTATTTTACATATAGTTTTACTTTCTTCCTGTTCAATAAACCATCACTATCGTCTTACTTGTGTTCACTTTCGTTCCCCTTTCTTTTGATTATTTGTTTAATAATGTTATCATAATTTGCAACTCTTCCGCTGACGCAAATTTGACTTGATCGTCTGCGTATATAAGGTTCTTCTACGGTTTACTGACCTAATCTTAATCTATATTCTTCAACTACCGGAGTTTTTACAGTCTTCGTAATTATGATCATATTTATCGCTATCGCTCTCACCTTAAATGGCTCACTATAAAACAAAGGCGTGACTCTAGAATTTTGCTTGTTCTCTTCTATATCTTAAATAATCCATCCACTTCTTATCTCAAGGACAAATTTCAATACCTTTCCTCAACGCATGATAGAACTCTGCATTCCTCTTCTTATTATAAATTAAGCATCCCACTACACTGAACGAATTTCGTTGGAAAATCCTTCATCATTCAGGCTGCACTTCTCTGCAACTCTTTGCCCGAGGAAGTTAGAAAAACACTTAATAAGACTGCTTTCAAAAGATTAATTACGTTAGTATGGTCAATGTTATCCTTTGGTTACCTTTGTTGTAAGTTTATGTTAGGTATATATATATATATATATATATATATATATATACCTAACTATATGTTTATTTTTGGTACCTATCACATTATTTCCACACGTCTCGGGTTGACTGGGAGAGAATGCCAAAAGGCATTAAGACCGCCCTTTGTAATCCTTTTTATTAAGGTGTACAATAAAGTGTAAATAAATAAACAAATAAAATAACAATAAGTTTCTAAGCAATTATCCATAAATAGATTGAACAGCCACGGGAAAGCCACACAACCCTGGTGATACCTTTGCGGATGTACTGTATAAGTAGGAGTAAGTAATGATATTTAATGCCTATACCAGCCTCGATAAGAGTACCATTTGTAAAACCCTAGATATTGAACAACTGAAATTTTATTTTACAGAATGGAATTACCCAATAAAATATTTAATTGCTCGTTACGCAATAAAACGATGGAAGTCACAGTTGCCTTCCAAAATTGTGATAAAGGAAACGCCTACAGAAAAGCTTATTGGCGGATGGGATACTATAACAATTAGAGCAACTGCACCCGATGGGGCCATTTTGCTTCTGGGTATACGTCAATTAGGCTGGCGCAAGACTTTGGCCGAGGTTACACTTCATGTTAAATTAGCTGATGGAACCGCTTACAAATTGCCACGTATGTTTTTTTTTTTTGTAAATCTTGTAATTATCTTATATTATATTAGAATTTTAAGATATGTGTCCGCTAACGCTAACACGCGTGTGCTCATCAGTAAGATATATTAACTTTATTGATAACAATAAAAAATAAAAAAATGCAGTTGCCAACCCGCCTGTGCGTGGCAACTACTCCAAAGGGTAGGATTTGCAATCTATGGGGAGGCTCTATCTATGTTCATTAGTGAACTGCGATAGATTGTTATGAAGATGATGATGTTAATGATGTTGATGATGATGAATATGATGATGATGAATATGGAGCGTTGACTTCAATAAATGTAACTTACGAATTACGAGTAACATTAAATTTTTGGTGTACCGTCCCACTGACCGTCGTTATATTATTACCTAGCTTTATGTAGTTCATAATTTGATACGAGTTCGTCATTAGTTCGTTAGTTTTTCAATACGTAGTTTATTTTTTAGGGTTCCGTACCCTAAGGGTAACAAACGGGACCCTATTACTAAGCATCCGCTGTCCGTCCGTCAATCTGTCAACGGGCTGTATCTCATGATCCGTATTCGTTTAAATGATTTGACGGCAATACTGTGGATGAGCGTTTATGTTGCAGTGCTGCGGGCTGGGGTTCGAATACCGAACGGAATAACCATTTGCACTTCATTATCATTATCATTACATCCTTCTCGTCGATTTCATACTCAATTAATATTCTACTTATAATGAATTTGTTCAAAATGTATTTAGTTATAAACTGATTATCACCATCAGGTCATCCTGAAGTGCTAGTTGGAGCATGGGAAGGCATAGAAAATGGTTGGAGTGCCGAAGGGTTGAAAATACAGATCCTTGAACCAGAGCAAAGATTGAGAATTCTTTACAATGGACTTTTAACGCGGACCGAAGACAATGTCACGCAGCATGTTCGCCTCAATCTAATGTTAGTGTTCTTTTCTACAGGGCTATTTCGGTTTAAAGATCTTTATTTCTCAATAAGACAATCGTCACTTACATGAGAACAATAATTAAATAAACATAGTAATAAAAATTTGTAGTGCGGGTATATATAAAACTCTGTTGGATGGCATTTTTAAGAAGCGAATATCTTTGTTGCTTACTCGAATTATAAGGTGGTGGTCCAAGTTAAATAATGTGTTTCGCTTTTATTTGAAAATGATGTTGATTAAGTACTTAGCTGTTGTGAGCTTAGGTAGGCAAGTAACTTCTGTTTGAAAGCATTCAAAGATTTCACCTCCTTTACAAATTTAGGTAATTTGTTGTATAACTGTGCTCCCTTATACGTTATATTATTTTTACCATAGTTTGTTCTTATAAACGGCAAAACAAAGTGACTAGCTCGGCGTGTTATGTATTTGTTTGTTTGCTTCTTTGTTAAAAATGTGAGTTCTGAGTGAATTAATTTATGTTTTATTTTATATATTAGTATGCATGTGCTATATGTATAAAGCTGAGTAACGTTCAAAAGTTTAGTTTCTTTATATATTATTTTAGTTGGTGTCAAAAAGTCATAGTTATACAAAATTTTTATGATACGATTTTGTAGCACTTGGATAGGTTTGAGATTGGTTTTAGCGGCATTGCCCCATACCTCTACAAGGTAAAGTAAGTGAGGTTTTACTAAAGCATTATATATTAGGATTCGGGCTTTTTTCGGAATACAACGGACTATTTTGTGCAGGCGGCCAACGAGAGAGGAAAGTTTATTTTTAATGTGTGTAAGATGTGCATTCCAAGTTAAATTACTGTCGAGAATCAATCCAAGGTATTTTTCTTGATTTTTTCTTTGTAACATTTCTCCGTTTATTGACAAAGTGAGGTGGTTAGGGAGTTTTTTGTTCTTGGCGCTGAAAACTATATATGAGGTCTTGGCTATATTGATAGTTAAGCGATTATACTGAAACCATTGATGCAGTAAGCTTAAGTCTCCTTGAGCTAGTGTTATGATATGATCGATATTGTGTCCAAAATAGAATAAACACGTATCATCTGCGTAAAGGGATATTTGACCTTGTAAGCCTGCTTGGTGTATGTTATTTATGTACACAAGGAATAGCAATGGACCGAGTATAGAACCCTGAGGAACGCCACACGTTAGAAGTTTGGGACTACTTTGAATGGACCCAACTTTTACAACTTGGTAACGATTGCTTAAATATGATGCCATCATTTTGTATACCTTTCCGGTGATGCCAGTACTTTCTAGTTTTTTTAGAAGCAAATTATGGCTCACAGTGTCGAAAGCCTTTTTTAGGTCAACAAATATTCCCAGTGCTACTTGTTTTTGATCAATTTTTGTTTTTATCGTAGTTACCAAGTCAATTGTTGCTCCCAGGGTACTAGATTTGGCTCGAAAACCAAACTGTTTGTCATACATAAAGTTGATTTCAGTTAAATAGTCGTCTAGTCTCTTGTATATGATTTTCTCTAAAATTTTAGATAGTGTAGGTAGAACTGATATTGGGCGGTAATTTTCCGGGCTAGATTTTGTACCAGACTTATAAATTGGAGTGATCTTGGCAGTTTTGAGGTTGTCCGGAAAAATTCCTTCAGCTAATAATCGATTTAGGCAATTAGTTATATTTTGGACTACTAAATTGTTGATACATTTGAGAGCCTTGATACTAACTCCATCTAGACCCACACTAGTATTGGGATCTAGGTCATTTATTATTTTCCTTACTTCAATGGCAGTGCATGGATCGAATTGAGACAGTGTACGGTGCGACATGCTAGGATCAAGACTCGGTACTGTGTGTGAAGTGTTTTTATGGAACTTACTTGGTATTTTGTTTGCCAGTTGTGTTCCTATGTTCGCAAAAAAAAATATTTTGCAGTAACCGGCCAAAATTACAGGGAAGGAAGGACAAATTATGAACAAAAATTAATTAAAAAAATTCAAACATTGTCCATTTTATCTTTTAAATACAAAATGCGTGGTAATGCATTACTTTACTATTCACGCATACATTCGTAAGCGTCGATCGGTCGGCAAAATCGTCCGTACCGGTAGGCGAAGTGTAGGGCGTCCCCCCACTATATGACCTGGTAAGACGTGCAGGAAGTCGGTGGATGCAGGTGGCTCAGGACCATGCTTTGTGGCATTCCTTTGTTCAGCAGTGGACTTGTGAAGGGCTGTAATGATGATGATGATGGAAAAGTAGAAGCATTATTTACTCGTATATTTTAAAACTGCAATAACGGTATCTCATTATTTATATATTTGAACTTAAGTTTAAAATTTGGCTACTCTTTGAAAAATAACCCTGTATATAATATTTTATTTTGAACGTCAAAACCTTACACCAGTACACAACCGCCGATATTTTACCAAGCTAACTAGTGAATATTTATTATCTTCTATATAAATAAAATGATAGAGGTTTGCAGTTGTGCGCCAATCACAGAAAAACTATTGGATAGATTTCAATTAGGTTTTCTAAGTTTTATTTCTTATATACATGGCCCTTATCTAAAAAAAAAAATATTGCGATATTTTCATTTAATATAAAGTTATTAAGGTTTTAAGAAACAACTACGTTTTCAGTGATGTGTTTTCTTAGTTAATACATCCAGCAACAGCAGCAGATGAAGTCGCGGGTATCAGCTAGTCACTAATAAGTTTACTGCTAGGTGACCTGTTAAGTTCAAGGCTGGGTATTGACACATAACTTTTCGAGATTGAGAGGTTCTATGGGCAGCCATACACGTCATCGTTGGAGCCACACGCAGGTGTGAGTAACGATCCAAGAGCAAGTTTTATCCGACACTATCCCGATGATATTTCGGACGTCAGTCTGAGCGAGATTAGAATGTTTCACCCAGCACCTTAAAACGGCAAGGCCTCGGGAAAGGATGGAATCGGAGCTCCCGAAAGCGGGTGTTCATCAGTACTTGAAGTCCTTCTGAAGCTCTTCAATTCTATCCTCCATGGCGGCACTACCCCGGACTCCGAAGGTGTGGAGCAGAAGTGCGCTGGTCTTGTTCTTTAAGAAAGTCGACATCATGCTTTGCGACACCGCTCTCTTGAAGAACTACAGACCGATTTCCCTTCTAAGCCGCGTATACGTGCTGTTTTCGAGAGTTATTACGAATAGTCTCGCAGGCAGTTTCAAAGACTTCCAGCCTCCCGAACAAGCCGGTTTTCAAAAAGGCTTTAGCACCATAGACCACAGAGTACAATCTGCCACTTTATCTTGCGTATGTGGACTATGAGAAAGTTTTTGATTCCGTCGAAATTTGGGCGGTGTTGCAGTCCTTACAGTGATGCCAAGTTGACTGTCAGTATATTGAAGTGCTGAAGTGTTTGTACAGTAGGGCTACGATGGCTACCCGAGCACAGAACCAGAGTACGAAACCTATCCAGCTGCAGAGAGGTGTAAGACAGAGTGACGTTATATCCCCGAAACTCTTCACCGCTGCATTGGAAGACGTTTTCAAGCTACTGGAAAGGATACGGTAATAACATCAACGGCGAGTACATCACTCACCTTCTATTTGCCGACGATATAGTCCTTATGGCAGAATCGCTGAAGGACCTAAGCTCTATGTTCAATGACCTCAATAGTGTTTCCCAACGGATAGGTCTTAAGATTAACATAGACATAACAAAGGTCATGTGTAACGTCATGTCACACCTATGCCGGTAGTTATTGAGAGTACTAGTACTACGCCCGAAGTTGTTGACAAGTATGTTTACCTTAGGTAAGTCCAAGTAAGAACCCCTTTGTCGTACCTCCTCAGTTTCAAGGCACTCCCCTTCTTGCCTCAGCCAGTATCGGAATCCTTGGAGTCGACATATAGAGTGACGTGCAGTTTCGTGGTCACTTGGAAGAGAAGGCCAAATTGGCCTCTAAAAAGCTTGGCGTGCTCAGCAGAGTGGGACAGTGTTTCATGCCGGCACACCGCCTGCAACTTTACAAGGCGCAGGTTCGGCCTCACATGGAATACTGTTCCCATCTCTGGGCAGGGACTCCCCAGTGCCAGCTCCTTCCACTTGACCGCATCCAGCGCAGAGCTGCTCGAATCGTCAACGACCGAGTCCTTTCCAAACGGCTCGATTTATTGGCACTGAGAAGAGATGTTGCTTCCCTTTGCATTTTCTTTCGCATTTACCACGGGGAGTGCTCTGAGGAATTGTTCGGATTAATCCCTGCTGCCAAATTTCACGAACGCACATCGCGGCAGAACTCCCGATACCATCCACACCATCTGCATGATTGGCGGTCCACTACTGTGCGATTTAGAAGATGTTTTCTTCATCGCACAACTTCCTTGTGGAATCGATTACCATCAGCGATTTTTCCGGACGGATACGTCCTAGGGACCTTCAAGAAAAGAGTCTATTCCTTTTTAAAAGGCCGGCAACGCATCTGCAATTCCCCTGGTTCCCCTGGTATTGCAGTTGTTCGTGGGCGGCGGTAGTCACTTACCATCAGGTGAGCCGCATGCTCGTTTGCTCCCTCTCTTATAAAAAAAAAACTCCGACCGAGAGGTCAATTGAGGGATTGAACTCAGCTAGGCAGCATTCGGAAGATTACACACCTCAAAACTTGAAAACAATACTGTACCTAGTCAGGTCATAAGTATTGTCACACAGTAAAAACTTTTCTTTTAGAATTCTGGCCACAAAAAAGTTTATTGAATTCGAATTTAGAATTGTTCATGAAAATAAAACTGTATACTTTTTAGAATTTTACTCATTTTTAAATATGGAGTGGACGCTAGAAGACCGTGTTGCAGTTATTGCGTTGCATCGTTGCGGTTACGCGCCAATTCAAATTTTTGACATACTGAAAAATTTGAATATAACCAAAAGATTCGTTTATTGTACCATCAAACGATACAATGAAGACTCTAGTGTAGATGACAGGTCAAGAAGTGGTCGTCCTCGGTCTGTTAGGACTCTAGCAGTGATAAAAGCTGTGAAGGCGCGAATTCAAAGAAATCCCAAACGTAAGCAGAAACTGTTGGCCCTTCAGATGGGGTTAAGCAGAACCACGGTGAAAAGGGTGTTAAATGAAGACTTAGGGTTTCGGCCATATCGAAGAAAAACGGGACATCGTTTGAATGCTCGTCTAATGGACCTGAGACTGAAGAGATGCCGCGCTTTGTTGAAGCGGTACGCGGGAAAAAAATATCGGGAAATTCTTTTTTTGGATGAAAAAATTTTTACCGTAGAAGAGAGCTACAACAAACAAAATGATAAGGTGTACGCACATAGTAGCGAAGAAGCGAGCAACGGTATTCCGCGTGTCCAACGAGGTTATTTTCCATCCTCGCTCATGGTATGGTTGGGAGTTTCTTATTGGGGCTTAACAGAGGTACATTTTTGTGAGAAAGGTGTAAAAACGAATGCAGTGTATCAAAATACAGTCCTGACGAACCTTGTGGAACCTGTTTCTCATACCATGTTCAATAACAGGCACTGGGTATTCCAACAAGATTCGGCGCCAGCTCATAGAGCGAAGAGCACACAAGACTGGCTGGCGGCGCGTGAAATCGACTTCATCCGGCACGAAGACTGGCTCTCCTCCAGTCCAGATTTGAATCCGTTAGATTACAAGATATGGCAACACTTGGAGGAAAAGGCGTGCTGAAAGCCTCATCCCAATTTGGAGTCACTCAAGACATCCTTGATTAAGGCAGCCGCCGTTATTGACATGGACCTCGTTCGTGCTGCGATAGACGACTGACGGCGCAGATTGAAGGCCTGTATTCAAAATCACGGAAGTCATTTTGAATAAACTTTAGTGTCATAAGAATCTATGTTTTGTTATGTTCATTTTGGTATATAAATGGTTACATAATGAATAAACTTGTTTCAATTATTTTATATTAAACATGTGATAGAATTTATGACCTGACTAGGTATAACCGGTGCGTATTGCTAGTGATGACTTATGGATCACTCTTCTCATCAGGTTTACCTAAAAAATTGAAAACGAGATTGTACAACCAGTGCGTGTTGCCAGTGATGACTTATGGATCTGAGAGATGGTCCTTTACTGCTGGCCGTATGCGAAAGCTCAAGTTCGCTCATTAAGCTGTGGAAAGGACTCTGTCGGGGTTTCTCTGCGTTATAACCTTAGAAATGAGGTTCTTCGCACTAGAACCAGAGTAACCGACATAGCACAGCGGCTTAGTAAGCGGAAGTGGTAATGGGCCGGTAATATAACTCGAAGAACCGGCAACCAATGGGAATGACGGCTCCGTGGCGCAGTGGCTTAGCAATCAGTTGTTGCGCTGGGGGCCGCGGGTTCGAATCCCGCACGGAACAAGTATTTGTATGGCCTACAAATAATTGTTCCGGGTCTGGATGTTTGTCCTTGTGCCATTTATGTTTGTAAACTGCCTCCACGACACAGGAGAAAATCCTAGTGTGGGGGTAACGTTTTTTTAAATAGATTAGATAGATTAAAGATTAATTCAAGGTTCTCGAGTGGCAGTCTCGTATTGGTAGGTGAAGTGTGGGGGGTCCCCCCACTAGATGGAGTGACGACCTGGTAAGACATGCAGGAAACGGGTGGATTCAGGTGGCTCACGATCGAACTTTGGCATTCTTTGGGGGAGGCTTATGTTCAGCAGTGGAATTGTGAAGAGCTGTAATGATGATGATGAAGAAGAAGTTATACTTGATACTTCTTTTCGTTATGACTTCTATTTTATGAACAATTTTTACGTTTAAGATGGGCGTCAGCTACTAGTGTAATACGTCATCCCGAAGATTGGAGTGAGCAACTCGCTGCTCGTGCGTTGGCGTTGGAAACCTGGCGGGAAGGCTCTTGGGCGCAAATGCTGTAAGTAATTATATTTATTTATTCTTTATTGCATTCCTTAAAACAAAAGAATACAAAGAACTAAAAAAATAAATAAAACTCGAGGCATTCTCTACCATGCTCACCACTTCAGGCAAGCGGATTTGCTACGACGCAGCCTCATCACATTCGCCTGTCTAACCTTGACGTTGGGCACGCCAACCAAAGGAATACCAAAGGAACCTGTTCTGTATCCTTTCCAGCCGCTTGGTTTTATCGAGCAAGTTCGGTTTAACATGCAATATTTTGATACACTATAACCACGATGTTCACTTAGCGCTAACTTCAGAAAGGAAATGAAAATTATTTTATTTTATTTTTTAATTAATTTGGTGGCCGTTTTAAATTAACTTTATGTTTCTTTATTAAAAATATAATAATTGTTATTTATATTCAGGGAAAAATGTGGTGACGGTAGCTGGTTACAATGGGGAGCTGTTCAAGGTCGCCTGCAGTCGTATGACAGCGACGGTGTGCCCCAGCGGAGCGAGTACCTGCGACTCCGTGGAATTCGGGAGAGGAGTTGGTCAGCCCACAATCAGGCTTGTCCCCGCCGCGCTGTCACATTAACGGCCTGTGCTAAAGATGGTACCGCCATCATGTTACGAGGCCTTTCATATAAGAATACTTTGACTGAGTGAGTTGTGTTAAAGCATTTTAATCATTTTATTTTACTGCTAGACCACAGTTTAGAGAACTTACACTTGGGAAACGAATGTACTTGTGCATAGCAACGGTGGGGGCTTTGCGTAGCTGGGGGCGGGCCGACCTTGTGCTAGCGTACTTCACTGAATCTGCTATACAATACGTGCGGTTGCAGCGAGCGTGTTTTATAGTGCTTATTTAACTAATTTTAAGTGCTGTTTTCGAAAAATATAATATCTATAATGGTGGATTACTGTTATAGTTATATAAGGTACTAAATAAAATTGAATTACATTTTTTTATAGGATAAATGTGACAAGCGAGCACACAGTCCACCTGATGGTAAGTGGTTGCTGTGGCCCATAGATACCTACATCTATCCTCGTTTGCGAATAATATGCAGATGCATTGTCAGCCGTGAAGACTAAGATGGAATGCCTCTTTTCCAGTAAAAAGGGTCTCCGGTTCACTACACTCACCAAACGAAACACAGCAGCATTAGGCTGCTACTTTACGGTGGTGTTCTGTGAGAGTGTGGTCCTTCCCCGTTCGAGCTGACCCATTCGTGCTACAACTATACTATTAATACAGCTGTAGCATGGCTCTATCACGTATAAAATGACGGCAATGCTTATGTCTCCCTCATTTTTTATATAATTGTTTATCTGAATGCGAATACACTAAATAATTAAATTTAATCATCAAAAATTCCAATAGAAAGAAAGTGTCCCCAAAAATATTTCGCAGTGCAACACTTGTAACCCCAAGCATACACGCTGGCCGCATAAACACCTAGGTGGGCGGCATCGCCTGACATCAAAGGCGTTTCACAACTGTAAGATCTCTTTAAACGGTGGCTACACAGTTCACTTGGCCATGGACACAAATAAACCGTGGAAGTATGTCTTCAAGGGAATTAAGCACGCATCCCTGATTTGCTTACAGTTTATTACATTTTATTACGACTGAGGCACAGTCAAATTATGAAATTATTTTCCGATCGCGTTTTTGGTTTCCATTGCCATATAAATCAATTTTTTTCTTTATTTATTTGATTCATTGCAAAATAAATCGCTTACAACGTTTATTATGTATTGCCATTGTGCCCGTCACTCGTCGTTGGCGATCATCAGGGGGTCATTTTTCGGGGCTTGGAACGCTTCCATATTTCATGAGTTCGTTCCATAATGTAATTTAACAATCATGGTAAAAAGTAATATGTGAAATGAAGGCTTATTATTATTAATTTATTTAGATAAATAATCAAAGGGCGGCAAATACAAAATAATCGCATTCCAAATTAGAAACTAGACAAAAAAATGTATATTATTAATGGCCAGACTTGTTAGATGGATTGATGACTCGGTAAGTCGTGCTCGGCTCAGGACTTCAGGATCATCATAAGGAATACATCATAAGATTAGCTTGATTTTCTAATACGATGGCAGTTCCTTTGATTGTCCGATGACATCCTCCGCCCTCCTAAGTAATTTTGAATATTGTTATGGTATCGTTGCAGGTTGATCTCCGGCTGCGTCAGATTGCCAGATTACACAATCAGACCATTAATTTCTACGGATTTCATAATGTCTGATTTTTGTGAAACACCAGAGGGAATACCGAAGGCTTATACAATAACTGCGAACAGTAAGATACTTTCTACATATATATTATTTCTTCAATATACTTGCTTAAGTGGGACCTGGATTAGTGACAAACCTCCATAGCTGGAACTCATGCTTAGGTCCCGCCGACACTTTAGCACTGAATTACCTCTGTTGGACAAAACAAACCTCTATATCTGGGATTAGTTATCGTCATAATTACCTCTATAATTAAGACAGAGAGTGTATTTTACCTCTTTTAATGAAACTATATTTTATGTACCGTTTTGTTTACTAATTCTTATTCTACCCGCAAATTCCGCACTTGGCTAATTGTGTAAAAGTGACCTCCAGTTTTAGTTTGATTTTGTTATCGTCCGGATGTTTATTTGAAAATGCCGAAGCGAAAGCACTAGCACTAGCAATAACTGAAATAACCTCTATTCTCACCTCTCTTAATGGTACCCTCTGTAAATCACACAGATATTTATTTATACTTGGATTTTGAGATACTGGGTAAGTGGAATACCTCCTTAAGTGAGACAAATTTGCAGGTCCCTTAAGGTCCCAGTTATCCAGGTTTCACTATAACTTTTGTACGTTATTTTGGCGCCGTGTAGTAGCGGTGTAAGAATATCCCCTACCCCATATTATACTGTGGGTGTCGTATGAGGCGACAGAAGGAAACAAATCAGGAGATAAATCCGTTTAACAGCGTCTATAAAGACAAAAAATAAAAAACTGCGGTTGTCATAATCACTCGCCAAGCGTGCGAAATATGAATAATATCCTCCCTATGAGGCAATCTATGGGAAGCCTATGATCAGCAGTGGAATCTAATGAGCTGTAACGGTACTTTGTATTAGAACCATCGATCACTGATCGATGATAAGAACCTACTTTCTTTATTTAAATAAATCTATTTGAAGAATATATTTATAGTTTGTTCAGTAAAAAACTTTTAGGTCAGACCAAAATATAATTTGTTAAATCCAAAGGCTTTTATAAAATACTTATAACCTCATTAGATTTCTAAACAAAAGTTATCAAATAAATATGTATCTTTTTCTTAAAATTCCTTTTTGGTTTTAGTGGTCATGAGGTCCCGGGTTCAAATCTCGGTTTAAGCAAAAATTTGTTATTGTGTTTTTCTGCCAAGAAATTTACAGTACCAGCCCGGAGTCAGGAAGTTCCTATGAAAGCACTCAAAGGCGTTGGTCCTGCAGCCTGATCTTTCTCCAGTACATCTGTGCTTGCGCACACACTCGTGCACTATAATCCTGTTTTGTACAGATGGCTAGTCTCCGTTAAGATAGGGTGCCGTTCGAAAGAACCTTCGGACACGGATCGGATTGTTCCTCAGACCGAACTTCGGTCTGAAGAAAAATCTGATCCGATAATATTTATTTCTCGTGCTTTAGTTCTTTAGATGCTTGTTTACTTTTACAGTAAAAGGTCGTAGCTTAAAAGTCGTGCTAAGAATCAATGACGATGGTGGTCAACTTCTCGCTGGGGTTTCTCACAAGCAAGAGATAGTGTACCGAAGTCTGGCGGTGGAAATAAATGGCGAACACGGTGCTGGGATTCTGGAACTGAGTTATGAGTCATTAGGTAAGTTAAATTCGTTTCGTTTAGAAAATAAAATAAGAACAAGTTGCGTACCCGTCACATCATTTTACTAGTTATGAAAATGTACCTTTTGTATTTTAGTTTATTGCGCTCTCATTCCATTTAAACGTATTCCGCAGAGAATTATTAACGTGAGATTTTATCAACAAGAGAACGCCATTACTTTAAATGCTCACGAACTGATTGTGTATTGCGATATGTATAAATTTTAAATTGTTCCAGCTAAAAATGATCCTCCAGTACAACCAGTGAGACGCTCCTTAAGGTGGTTGAGCGAGGAAACAGCTGGAGAAGTAGGATATTGTGTAAGCTTCGAAGATAGAGCTGCAGCTTGTCCTAATTACGTCGGTGGGAAAGGAGCTTCATTAGCACTCCTCGCCTCAGTGCAAAAAGAAGAGGTACAGGCATTAAAAGCAGTATCATATTATCATTCACATACACGACATTACATTTCAACTAAACGGCTGAACTTCATACAGTCGCTTGTTGCTAATAATTATCGAAATAACTACTTTTTTTATAGAAGAGCGGGCAAACGAGCATGCGACTCACCTGATGGTAAGTGACTACCGCCGCCCATGAACAACCGCAACACCAGGTGAATTGCAGATGCGTTGCCGGCTTTTTAGAAAGATGTAAGCTCTTTTCTTGAAGGTCCCTAAGTCGTATCGGTCCGGAAAAATCGCCGGTGGTAAACAATTCCACGGAGAAGTTGTACGAGGAAGAAAACACCTAGTAAAACGTACAGTCGTGGACCGCCAAGCATCCAGATGGTGAGGATGGTATCGTGAATTTTGACACGATGTGCGTTCGTGAAATTTGGCGGCTGGAATTAATCCGAATAATTCCTTAGAGCACTCCCCATGGTAAATTCGATAGAAAATGCAAGGGGATGCAACATCTCTACGCAGTGCCAGTGTATCGAGCCGATCAAAAAGAACTCGGTCGTCGACGATTCGAACCGCTCTGCGCTGGATGCGGTCAAATGGAAGGAGTTGGCACTGGGGTGCCCCGGCCCAGATACGAGAACAGTATCCCATGTGAGGCCGAACTTGAGCTTTGTAAAGTTGCAAGCGATGTGCCGGCATGAAATACTGTCTCGCTCTGCTGAGCACGCCAAGCTTTTTAGAGGCCAATTTGGCCTTCCCTTCCAAGTGACCACGAAACTGCACACTATTCGATATATCGACGCCGAGGATTCCGATGCTAGCTGAGGCAGTAAGGAGAGTGCCTTGAAACTCAGGAGACACGACAAAGGGGTTCTTTTTAGCGGTAAAGGCGCAAACTTGTGTCTTCTGGAGATTGAACTGGATAGATTTAGTCGCCCCCAATCTGAGACTTTGTTCACCAAAGACTCGACTTCAGACACAAGTTTGTCCCGGTACTCGGCGACGTTTTGCCGAGAAATATTGGCACGGCTGGTATATAAGAAGAGCTCAGGTACTCAAGTAGAAGAAGTAGTATTATATGCATATATTTATATGTCTAGGGTTACCGAGTCCCTCCTGGTTTTTGTTTGACTACCCGAGCGTTGGAGCAACATCTGAAAGTTCACCCAGAGTTGGTGGAAGCCATTAAGGATATCGAAGCTGCAAACGAAAATTATGAGGAAGCAAATTTTAAGGAGAAATGCAAAAAGTAGGTATACTCCATATAATCTTTCGTCCTTAATCTCATATGCTAATAAAACAGGAATTAACACTTCCGGTTGGGTGGAAGATTTGTATGATGACGGCGTATGCGAATCTATCGCGCCATTTTGCTCTCGTGGGTGTCGTAGAAGTTTGAAATAAAACTATTCACTTACTGCACCTATGGTCACGGAGGGGTAGTGCCTGAGATGTTTGACGTGCTGATGTCAGACATATTTATAAGTTGAAGGTAGCCTTCGTTAAATATAACTAGCAGTCGTGATCTAGGCGATTGTTGCTACCCACAATTTGTAAATCCAGGTCGTTGGTAAATCCACTATGCCTAGATGTTGGATTGTTGTTTTAAACTTCTTATTAGTTTTATTTGTAAATATCTCATTTTCTTCATTAGCCTATAACATCCATTGTTGGACATCGGCTTCTCCGTTTGTAGAGAAGATATCCCATATTTGACAATATTGACAAGTCTATTGTCGATCAGAGTACTAGTTGTCTCTCACTTTTGACGCTGCGTTGGTCTGGATTGTGAGTATAATATACATTATGTGGATATGATATGTTACAAATACTTGCAGAACAGTGGAACTATTTATGAAGACTGAGATAACTGAAGACGTCAAAGAAGAAATATTGCGTCATTTAAACAGTTTAAGAACGAAAATCAAAGAAGAAAGTCGAGGCATTGAATTACGTTTCGCAGTCAGATCCTCTGGTAAGATATTACTTTCACAATATTCAGAACAACCTGGTAGGCGGTTGTCACTTACCTTAAGATGTTCATTTGCTCACTCTTCTAATAAAAAATAATAATTTTGCGAAACTTTATCAGTTACTTTATTTTAATCTCGCGGTGATTGCGGAATATGCTTGCACTACCCTACGGTGTGCAAAAGAGTGGGCGTAAGTTTATATAATTTTTAACATACTTTAATGTTAGGTACTTTCTTCAATAAAGTATTTCTGTTAGTACTTTATAGAACTACCGTCTATCAAGTGAAATCCAGCCAAATGTATACTAATAAACACTCCAGTTGCTGTGTGTATCGTGTAGTGGCGGTGTAAGAATATCCACTACCCGGTGTCGTTCCGTGGGTATCGTAAGAGGTGACAGAAGGGAAACTGAAACGGAAAACGGGCAGCAGCATATGTGGTGCTGTAGCCAACCCGTCTTAAGGCATGGCAACTATGGTATAATCCTATGTGGTAATCTGTGGTGCAGGCCTAGGTTTAACAGTGATTTTTTAGGCTATGATGGATGGTAAATCTGGTCACTTTAAAAAAAATCAATGTGTACCACACATTTTTTTTTTTTAAAGTGACCACGTTTTGAGTGTTTTGGGACACCCATAAAATTAAATGATAAGATGTGTATTAAATAATAGTTCTAGTTGGTCTATCGCTGTTGATATAGGGTGACGGTTTCCGTGTCTTTGACACTGCATCCTGATCTACCTCCAATCTTTCCGCATAAGCATCCCATCGAACACGGGTAATTCAGACCGAGTATGCGGTCTTACACTTGTGGCACAAAAATAGTTTATGTGAGTATTAATAAAAATCGTTATGGAGGATGTTCTAATACGGTAGTAACACTTATTGCAGGTGTGGGAGAGGACAGTGAGGCGACGTCAGCGGCCGGACAGAATGAGACCGTGCTGGGCTGTGTTAGCGATTCCGACGTGCTGCGAGCCGTGCAACGCTGCTGGGCTTCTATGTTTGCCTTCACGAGTGCATACTATCGAAGGTAATTCTAGTCTTATTAGAGAAATTTATCAACATTTATAGAATAGAATAGAATAGATTTATTTTTATTAAATATTGATTATTACATAATACTTATTGAGTCATTTTTTATTTACCACTGGTTCGGAAAATACCTCTGTCCTGGGAAGAACCAGCAAGAAACCCAGCGGGACTTTTTTTTAAAATAATTTCACTTTACAATAATTTCGTTTATAGAATTTTAATGAATTTTCATAGAACCAGCATGGTAGCGATCACCTTATTCCCAGGGGTTATTTTCATTCATGTATTCCTTGATATTATAATAACCCTTTTTGTACAGTTTTTCTTTAATAAAACTTTTAACATGTTTATTGACAAACTTTGAACATGTTCTGGGATTTTGTTGTAAAAGCGTATACATTGCCCCATAAATGAATTACTAATTCTGTGGAGTCTGGTAACTGGCATTACAAGCTTATGTTTGTTCCTAGTGTTTAAGGTATGAATATCCTTATTCTTATTAAAGCTGTTTATGTTTTTATGTACATACATTACATTTTCATAAATATATGGCGATGCCAAAGTTAATATGTTTATTTCTTTAAAGTTTTCTCTGAGGGACTTACGAGAATTTAGGTTATAAATTGCCCGTACGGCTCTCTTTTGCCAAACAAATATAGCTTCAATATCAGTCGCATTACCCCATAGCATAATTCTATAAGACATTACGCTATGAAAGTAACTAAAATACACTAACGTAGCTGTTTCAACATCTGTGAGACTTCTAATCTTTCTTACAGCATATGCTGCAGAGCTAAGTCTGCTTGCTAATTTAGACATATGGGGGCTCCATTGAAGTTTCGCGTCAATAGTAATACCAAGAAAAACAGTGGTATCCACAAGACTCAACTCCTCCCCATTAAGAGCACATTGGTTTTCGACTGTTTTACATTTGGTATTGTAAATTTAATACATTTTGTCTTATTGCAGTTTAAGGGCAAATTGTTGGTGTTAAACCAATGTACTAATTTCGATAGGGCATTATTTACATCGTCATAATTAATTGACTGCCGTTTGAGTTTGAAAATTAAAGAGGTATCGTCAGCAAATAATACTATATCGTGATTGTCCCCTACAAGATAAGGTAAGTCATTAATATAAATTAAGAACAGGGGCAAGAATCGAGCCCTGAGGAACGCCCATTGAAACTACCGATCCGGAGGAACCTTTACCATTGTCCACGACTTTTTGAGTTCTGTTACTTAAATATGAAGTAATAAGTCTAAGCGCCAAATTTTTTACACCGTAATGTTGGAGTTTTCTGATTAATATCTCATGATGAACACAATCGAAAGCCTTGGAAAGATCACAGAAAATACCTAAGGCATCTTGTGAATTCTCTCGGGCATTAAACATATATTTCATAAGCTCAACACCGGCGTCAGACGTCGAGCGACCCCTTGTAAAACAAATTGGTTTTTATGTAGTAATTTATTTGTTTAAAAAAAATTAACAATTGAACCAAAATTATTTTTTCAAAAATTTTACTGAGAGTTGGTAGTATAGAAATAGGTCTATAATTAGCGGGGACCAATGTACTACCAGATTTAAATAAAGGTATTACTTATATATTAAGTTAATTAACCATTAACCAAGCCAAGATTAAAAACGATGGCGTTTACATATATTAGACGCATATGCTTGATTATGTGCATTTTCAACGATTTCTTCTTTTGTTAAATAGGATATATACTTTAGGGGGTTGATCCTTAAAAAAAGAATCATCAATATTGGTTCACAATTTGCGAAGACTCCATAACGATCGCGTAACATACATAAAAAACATACACTCGAATTGAGAACCTCTTCTTTTTTAAAGTCGGTTAATAAGTACACATGTTTCTCTAGGTGGTAAGACTCCTAATCTGTTTCTAGGAGTCCGTCTGTGTAGTTGCCACCCTTTTACTTATTTCTGCCAGCTAGCAGTATTTTGTACTAGCGTCGCACAACATCAGAACACCCGTAAAATAAGAGTGCATAACCAGTACCTGTTGCCAGTGATGATATATGGATCTAAGACGTGGTTCCTCACTGCTGGCATTAAGTACCTCCAGTATCACTCAGCGAGGGAAGAGATATGTTGGAAATTTTACTTCTGGGTAAAGTTCGTAACGAGCATATTCCCGGAAGAATAGGAGTAACAGACATAGCCCAGTGAATCAGTAAGCTGAAGTGGCAATGGTCCGGCCATATAGATTAAAGTGGCAGCATTGTACCAGCGTACGTAATGTTGGGCGACCAACAGATGGAGTGACAATCTAGTTAGGACACAGGTGGCTCAGGACCATATTACCTGCTACCTATGTCCAGCAGTGAAATTGTGACGGGTTGTAACAATGATGATGATGGAATATTGGTGAAAAATAGAATTAACGGAACGAAGTTCCTGATAGTCTGCGGATGCTCGATGATCGTGAGTGAGAAATTTTCAGATAGAAATGTCTAACAATGTACCGCCGCGGCTGGCACCTCATAACTCATATACCTCAAAACTTGAAAGCAAGATTTTACAACCAGTGCTTGTTACCGATGATCTCACATGGAAAGAAAGAAATAACTATTTATTTGATACACACATTTACACACATTTCAAGAAATATACAAATGCAAGAGGCAAAAATATGCATGCACCAGTCTAATACTAAGTAAAACATGGCACACAGTGTGTAACCACACGAGTAAAGTTCCTTCTCTGTGGTGTAACTAAGACTGCTTACGCATTAATAATTAAGAAGCAGTACATGCTCAACATTTATTCATAATAAAACAAAAAAGAAATAAAAAAAGAAATCAAAATTAAAATGTGATATCAAATAGGTCTCCAACTCAGCAAAATGCTACAAAGGCAGCGCTGGTTTTCAATAGTGGCCTTGTGACTTCACTGATAAGTCGGTGGGTGATCCTCCAATTACGCGTTGGAGTTATTGAACAGAAACTTCTTTATGAATTTTTTTTATGAATTATGAAAGATTTTGTGTTGTATCTGTTGCGCAGACAGAACGGGCAGGCGTGCTGGTGCGGCGGCGGCGTGGTGGTGCAGGCGCTGGCGGCGGCGCGCGCGGCCGGCGTGCTGTTCACGCGCCACCCGCGCGCCGGCCCCGCGTGTCTGCTGCTCGCCGCTTCCTACGGCCTCGGCGAGGTAACTAACTAACTGAAAGAGTACAGAAGATCTTCATCGCCCGCCATGCAACAGAGATCAACCAATTCACAGGCCTTCTATTCACAGACCAATACCACACCATGTTGGGTTCGGGAATAACGAGATAGGAGTGACCCCTGAGCAGACGTTCAACTCAGAACTCTGCCTATCCTCTCTCAAAAGAAAGGTTAAACGACTAAAATTACGGGTCTCTAAGGAATGGTCCCGGTCTTTACGTCAGTCATTAGTGGACTGCATCACTTGAAGCTTCGTGGTCCTTAACTATTTAGGGTGGACGTGAGGAATTTTAGAAATAAAACATTAAATAATAATAAAAGCCCCTTATTCTTGGAAACATTAACTCGCGTCGCCAACACTAACAAATAAACAAACACTTTATTATACCACAGACCATTGACTTATACCACATACCATTAACGTGCACATTAAAGTCCACTGCTGAACATAGGCCTAGGATTGCCTTATAGGGGATATTTGCCATAGTTGCCACGTTTTACAAAATCATTGGCACCGAATGAAGGTGACATCAGAAACCTAAATGTATTATGCTATTAGAATTTTAAAGTTATGAAAAAGACAAAAAAGGGAATTGGGACTTTCTTTTGCCGTTTCTACTCAAGTCAAAGATTACATTACGAAGAGATTTAAGAATATTACACTTACATTTAGACAACATAATGATTAAAAAGGATAAATCCCATATGTCTAAAATTATAAAAATAAATCGAAGACGTGCCATGTGGGGTCGTGGAAGTATGGGAAAACGTTCCCATGGAACTGCCAATATGCGGCAAAGATATTTTAATCGGCGTGAGTCCAATATAACCCGTCGTTGCCCACGCGAGATAACTCCTACGCACACCCGCTTTCCTCATGTAACAAAAGGGTGCAATGAGTGAATTAATTAAATGTACCTATGATATGTGGACTATATAATTAAACATAACCTTTATTTATAATTTAGTCAGGTAGTTTTTATTTTTGGATAAAAACGGTGGATAGGGCTCCGAGTGAACAATTATTGATTTATTTTTCTTTCATAAAATCTTAAAATTTCACTACCTAATTTACGCTCGGACTCGGAGCTGTATTCTTCTAGGTTTTTTTGGTCATTATTGAAAAACTGCGTTGTAGTTTCGCCACAGCTTATGCTGAGTATTGAAATTTATTGGCAGACCTTCTACGTACAAAGTCAAATTATTCTAGATATGAAAATGAAGGAAATAATATTTAGGTAATTTATATAAAAAAATTTGGTTACGGCCTAAATACGTCCCACTGCTGGGCACAGGGGGTTTTGGGGCAAGGAAGTGTGCGCTGCGCTGCCGTAATGCGTGTTGGCGATCTTCACATGTCTTCGAAATATTTTTTTCTTTTCTTATTTCTCAGACATACAGGTTTCACGATGTTTTTCTTTACCGCTGATCATGTGGCAAATCAGCACTTAAAATTGCAATTAACAATTTTATTAGTGCCGGCTGGGATCGAATAAGGGTTGCTTGCGTACTGTAATATTTTAAGCGAGCGCTAACCATCTGAGCTACCACGGCTCCGTAGTATACATAGAATGAAAAGCAAAAACAGACTCATCGCAAAAACACGTTAAAAATTAGAGCTCACCATAGCGAACCCGAGCGGCTCAGCCTCCACAAGCTATAGCGGTTGCTAATATAGAATACGAGTTATTATTACAACCTGAGGCTGCCAATCAAGAACCTATCTCGCAGGTTGTCGGTTCCTACATAACTGGCTTATGCCACTTTAGCTTACAAATCTTTTGGGCTGTGTCGGTAACTCTAGTTCTACTGGATATATTCCGCTGTTGTACCAAAGTGAACGATTAGTAAAAGGTAACTGCTCAATCATCTAACGGAAAACTTTTATATTGCAGAGTGTTGTTTCGGGCTCAGTAGAGCCTGACACGATAACAGTAAGGCGAGAAGGAAATGACCTTAAAATAGACAAAATAGAACTTGGATCGAAGAAACAGAAAGTAACCCCTGATAGTAATGGAGTTGCTGTAGAGGAAGTGTCAGAAGCAGATCGTGGGGTAGCCTGCTTGTCGGAATCTGAAATATTAAAATTGGCAAAGATAGGTGTGGCCCAAGAACAATTATGGGGTGCCGGAAGAGATATTGAATGGGCTATATGTGACGTGAGTGTTTTAGTATGTAATAATTTTTTTAAATAATCTTTTATTAGGAATTGGAAGTACTGCGATTGCCGGTACGTTAGCTAAATGTGTCGATTACGGCAAATCTTCCCTAAATTGGGAGAGACAATATAGCGGATGTATTAGCGGGTTGTTGAAGAAGGAAAAATAATAAAAATAAATAATAAAATAATTATGGAAACCTACCAATAGCCTTTATTAGTAGCCTAGTGACAGTAGCTTTATGGTTGAATATAATTTTTGAGTCTCGAAATGAACTTTTGAATGCTTACTTTTGTCACTTTCGTTAATGTAGTGTTTTATGATAAACTAGCTGTTCCCCGCGACTTCGCTCGCGTGTTAGGGTTTTTATGTTTTTGCGCGGAACCCTAATACTTTTTCTAAAATAAAAGTAGCCTAAGTTACTTCTTATGAAATCAGCTATCTGCCAGTGGAAGTCCCGTCAAAATCGGTCCAGCCGTTTCGGAGATTACCCGGAACAAACAGACAGACAGACAAAAATTTTAAAAATTGTATTTTAGTTATAAGTACCGTATTTACTTTCATATGCATTTAGTAAAAAACTTTAATTTTGACATTACAAACACTTCAATTGTATTTATTTGTATAGATTTACGCAAGTTGTTTGTTATTATTTCGTTTTAGGGTGAAGTATTTTTATTACAAGCGCGCCCTATCACATCGCTTGAGCGTTGGACTGAAGAAGAACTACTACATGAACTGGATTTCCCGATCATGTCAGATGACGAGCTCATAACTTTTGCAAATACAGGCGAGGTATTTGTACATATTTTACGATTATTTCTAATATATAAAAAAAGTATTTATGGCGAAGAAAATTTTTTTTACTTAAATACAAACCCACATACGTGAGTAATCCTAGAGACTTTTGATGTTTCACATACGAGTACACAAACTGCACACGGACAAACACGTCGTTTTATACGTGGTAGAACCATGCTGCAGCTAGATTAGTAGTATAGTCGTAGCACGAATGGGTCGGCTCGATCGGGGAAGGACCACGCTCTCACAGAATACCAACGTAAAATAGCAGTTTAATGCTGCTGTGTTTCATATGGTGAGTGTAGAGAACCGGAGACCTTTTTTTACTGGAAAACAGGCACTCCATCTTAGACCTCGCGGGTGACAAGGCATATGCATTTTGATTCCTTATTGATGATAAATGTAGATGTCTATGGGTCACAGCAACCACTTACCATCAGGTGGACTGTGTGCTCGTTTGTCACTCTATCCTATAAAAAAAACACAGACCCGGAATAGTCATTTGTAGGACATACTCATATGAGTACTTGTTCCATGCGGGATACGAACCCACGGCGATACGAACAAACACTTACCGCCAATAAACACTATTGATCCGACATAAATATTTTGAATTCAATTTATAAGATGCAATTGCGAAAGAATATTTTATTGGACAGTATTTTGACTGGCGCATTAGGGGACAATTGCTAATTGTCCCCTAATGCGCTAGTAATTTGAAACTTAGTTTATTTTTTTGAATAAGTATCTTATTATGTTTTATGGAAGAAGCCTGCTCAAAAAGCTTGCTGATCCTTTGTCTACGTACGGCGCAATTGTGAACTTTTTATTGCAAGTTGGCTATTTCTTCCATCTTAATAACGAATCTATAACATCAAATAGAAGCCTAAGTATCAATTTGTTTTTGTTTTATTACAGCAAGTATTTTTTAATTTTATTATTAGTATTTATTATTAGTAATGATATAAACCATCATCATCATTACAGCCCATCACAAGTCTACTGATGAATATCACCACAATACCACAACGCACGGTCCTGTATAGTAAAAAACAAGAAATCGATGCTTCCTTCATCTCGTCGTCCCTTGACGTCTTTTTCGTCTCGTCATCACTCTATCTATTGTAATATTTTAAATAGTTATATTATGAAATAGAAATTTTAGTGTGAAAATTATATGAGTTAAAACAAGAGTAAGTTTACGGAATGGCTCATAATAGCTCAGCTAGTTATTAAATATAAAAGGAACAAGGCTTCTAATTCATATCAAATTCCCTTTGTAGGTACTTCCAAAACCTGTGACGCCGTTGACATATGACCTAGTCGTGACACCCCTCGAAAAGGGAGTGTACCAAATGGTGGGAAGCAAAGGCGACGGCTACGATAAGAGTATTATCGTAACCCAGAACAGGTGTGCCCTTGTTCTTTACAATGTAAGTTTTATATAATATTAATTCATATTTTATATCTATTACATCAGATTTTTTTTTAATTCAATCACTTGATTTATTATAATAAGTTTCTTAGCGAATGCTTCGAATGATGATTAGAATGCGTTCATAAATACATGTATTTGTTATAATCTGAGTGGTGCGTTCTGCAGGAATTGACCGAAATGACCTCACATTTTCACACAATATTTGGGTTGGGTAGAAATAATGTTTCATGGTTATGCTAGGATTCGAAAGGATTCAATAGGCGGCGCTGCAGTTACTTTCCAATTTTTTTACTTACGTGAAATCTTGAAAATATGTGTGTTCGCGTCAAACACTGTCAAGAATCGACGCCAGATGTCACTCGGCTCGGCGCGGTACCGGTTTGAAGTTCGGCCGAGCGTGGCAAGAGCGCGCAAATCGCGAGCGAAAAAGGAGTCGTCTGGCAGCTGTGCTTGGAACAACACGCTGTTATTTTTGTGCGGGAACCGCGGAATAGTTAGGGCGTCTAGTAAATATCCCGTCTAGGATTTATAACGCGTATTCCATGTTTGGATAGCCTTTCCCGGGACTTATTGGGTCCAACTCAGAATCTGTATAAGTGCATTCGACAATATTAGCTAGTGCGGCCTCTGATGTTCTAGAACTAACTGTTGCAACGCGAAACGGTTAACCTTATAACCAGCGATAGTTAGTGGCATCTGTAAGTTAGTAAATCGTACGATAGAGTTAATTGACTGTCATCGTGACGAACGAGGAAAGTGACTGTGGTCCGGCGCCGAAGCAGTCTGAAGCGGTGCAGCATTTTGGACAACGCCTCGAAAGGCCCCCTCAAGTTGGAGCGGTGACGACGCTCGGGCTGCTGCCGACGGCCTAGGTCTAGGTTCAATCACCCGCAGTCACACCCAGATACACATCACATCACCTTCTTTCCCTTTCACTACACAACCACATGTGACCTGACCGACTCCGGAGGGACCAGTCGCCTTGGATATAGGTAACTAAGCTTCGCCTAATTCCTCTGCCGGTTGACTGGCCGTAGTATAGAACGCTCCCCCATATATTTAGTGTAATTAGAGAGATTCCACGTGGCCACATTGAGGCCCGACCTACGTCTGCTCGGGAAGTCTTCAGCTCATGGGCCCCTGAGGATTTGACCCTTTAAGGGAGCAGCCGTAGGCCGTAACAATGTGTCAGGGTTATCAAAAATCCTTGATTACATGCTCAACTTAATTTTTTTATTTAAATCTTGTTACAATTATTTCTTAAGAAAATATCTAAAATATATTAAACAAAAATACTCTCGTCTAAAATTAAAAATAAAATTGGTGCAATAATAAGCTTAAATCAATTATGGTATAGAATAAGAAAAAAAAAACTTGTTACAATCATTTTTAACAGGTATTTGTTTCTTTATTAGTCATCATCACCATTTTATTACGGGTCGTAATAAAATCATGTCAGGTCATAATTATTCTAATCAATCTAAATATTGTTTTCCCACAATAGTAAATCATTAATAATCATTAAAAATAACAATTAATATTTTGCTTAATACCAATACACTAAGTTGAAATTATGAAAAATACAGAGCAGTAATAATATTATTAATGCCCGACAAAGCATTAAAAATAATATAGATTTCTCTATTCTTTTCCTTCACTTTAATAAAGATGAATGTTTACTGACGACTCATTTGATAAAATCGGTCTAATGGGCTGCTACGGTGAAACATCGACAAACATACATACAAACATAGAATGTCAAGAGCAGAACCGTTAGTAGTGTAATTGTACCACTTCTAGACCACCTGAGTCAGACGTGGTTCAACGACGTTCGTCGACGCCCAATCCTAAAAAAAAAAAAAAAAAAAAAAAAAAATACATTAAGCAATATTCGCCACAAACTGAAGTCCACTCATTCTGAATCCTATCAACATTCCAGTTCCATCTTTTACAATTCCTTTTTAAAAACTCTAGATGATATCGTACAGGTGATCGTCCATATGAATCAAAATATTGACCGACGTCATTCGTATCGATATATAAAGCTACCCAATGTGACCCTGGTTTATCATCTGTATCCAAATTACATATTATATACGTTGGTACGTGAGTATACATAGGCAGTCTATTAGCTGCATAAACATTATTTTCTAGACTGGGGTGAATCTTTTTCAGATGTTGTTGTACATCTAGTGTATCCATGATATTACTGCTATTAGTAGATTATTACAGTACCTAGCTACTCAATGAATAACATAGGAATGGTCAATTATAGTGATTTCTACATATTAAATTGCATTTTTGTGTTATACAAATCGTACTTGAGTCATTGTTCACCAAACAAAACACAATACGAAGAAATGTTGAGATAGGCAACGGAAATGTGAGATAAACTGATATGTTTCTAAATATTAAATTGCATTTTTGTGTTATACAAATCGTACTTGAGTCATTGATCACCAAACAAAACACAATACGAAGAAATGTTGAGATAGGCAACGGAAATGTGAGATAAACTGGTTGACGCATAAAGTAATTATCAACTCATTACGGAAATACTTTAGATTAGAATTTTTACGTACTGGTGGTATATAAGACCAACAAACGCAGTCATCGAGTTAGTGTACGGTCGTTTGGCTACAGTGGATCTATCAATAGTACATTTTGTGTTACTTCAATACACCAAAGGCTATGGATGTAAGTGTTTATTCTATTGACTAAATTACTTTTTTTCTGTTATTTTCATGTGTGTGTATTATTTTATTTAAATATTGTGTATGTATATGATTAAGCCGTGGTAACTCAGATGGTTAGCGCTAGCTGTAAATTTCACAGTACGCGACCCGGGTACTATCCCCGCCAGCACCAATTAAATTGTTAATAGCAATTTTAAGTGCTTATTACCACGTGCTTGGTGGTGAAGGAAAACATCGTGAGGAAACCTGCATGTCTGAGAAAATTTCGAAGGCATGTGAAGTTCGCCAACACACATTGAGGGAGCGCGGCGGACATTTCCTTGCTCTAGAACCCTCTCAGAAATGAGAGGAGGCCTATGTTCAGCAGTGGACTTTAATAGGCTGTAACTTTAACTTTTTTAACTTTTATGATTAAGTGTTAACAAATTGATATTAACATGATAACTGTGTTGTTGCAGAAATCATTGAGCTTCGATGAAGATACCTATAAACAGTATTACTACTCGCCACTCTCCCCTCAAGAAGAGAGTGATAACCTCGTCATTAATAATTACACATGCGATGGTGGAAAAAGAAAATCGCAATCGATTGATCATTTTTTTGAAGCTGAATCAAAAATAAAAAAGAGGAAGCTGTTATCATCAACCGTAGCACGAGCCGCTAGAGATGGTGTATCATACATTTCTACTAATTCTGACGACGGAGACCAAGCGACGCATCTCATCAAAATTGAAATGTACGATATGAAGAAGCTATCCAAGATTCCAACTACTGATCATTGGAAACATGCTTCCACTAGAATTAAATATTACGTAAAGACTAATAAGGATAACATCTACGACAACACAAACGCCCTCGTATACAATATAACAAAGACAATAGCAGAAAGTGAAAAAGTTAAAAAATACTTTTTTAACAATGACAGTCATTAGCTGATCATTAGTGAATGTGATTCTGTTTACTTCAATTACAGGAAGACAAGAGCGGAAGGAAGAGATGAGTGTGGCATACGTGTACAAAACACATCATTGAATAACAAAACTACAACACTGAGTGGAGAAGAAAACGAGAAGAGTATGCAGTACTCAAGAGCTGAATATCCATTCTTCAGTTCAAAATCTAGCCGTTTGCTTAGTTTCGAAAACTGGCCTCTAGTTATGCGACAGAAACCTGAAGATCTTGCAGAAGCTGGTTTCTTTTATACTGGCCATGCAGACGGGACCAAGTGTTTCCATTGTGGTGGTGGTTTAAAAGATTGGGAAGATGATGATGATCCTTGGCAGCAGCATGTTCAGTGGTTTAGTCAGTGTGCTTATGTAAAATTTCAACTCGAACAGTGTTTTGTATTAGATTAAATAGAAGATTTATAAAGAAATAAAAAAAAAATATATTGCATACAATTTGTTTTATTTAATTTTATAACGTTTCACATAGTTACATACACACAAAATGCATTACACATAACACATAAAATCTAACACACAACACATATTATAACCTTAACTACTATAGTCTACAGTAACATTTCTGTTTTTATCTATCTCAATAATATTATCAAACTCAGCATAAACTATACAGTTAATTGTTTGTATTAATGAGGATTCAAATCGTACTTCTATTCTTACACTACCATGCTTTATGAGATTCCAATGAGTTGATGAGTTAGCTGATAAATCAGGAGTTAAGTCAAATGCTAATAGACAGTAACCTTTGCCATACTGTTCACAAGAGATTCCATTTCCTTCATTAAGAAAGTGAATACCAGTTCCCGAGAATAGAGTATGATATGCTGATGTAAATATGCTATTATTAAAAGATGGTTGCAAAGCTTTTGAAGGTATTTGTTGACCATCAATATATAAGCTGAAAGAATTAATACCATAGTTTTCAAAGTTAAATGGATTTTTAGTAAGGGAACCATTAAATGCAGAATTGTTCACAAATCCAATTATACATCTTTTCGGTACCTGTCCTAAAAATATATTATCAAGAGTTTTTCCTTGAACACCCGAAGGAATTGTTAAAACTTTTACTTCAGCTCGAGTAATAGGATATTTAGCAGTGGTAGAAGCTAAAACTTTTTGATGTGCGAGTAATACACTTGGATTAATTCGTGCTCGTCGAACAATAAGAGTTGCGTCCGTAATGCAAACTTTAAACTTTACATCGTTCGACCCAACAATTAAATTAAAACTCTCTCTTGATCGAACCAATTTAACACTCATTTCAACACCATTAATTAAAAATTTATCTTGGTTAAAAATGTCACCGTGAAGATGACCAATCATTTCTATTTCCT